CCCGCCCCCTTTAAACTTTGAAATGAAGTTTTATTTATTTACTAGCCATTCCCTGCTATGCGTTGCTGTGGCCCACATGGCTGTTCTGTGTGGGAGGATTGGTCCAATTCTATTGTTGGTGGGGTTCAGAATGCTCTGTGATTGTAGGTGAACTATAAATCCCAACAACTACAACTCCCAAATGTCAAGATTCTATTTTCCCCAAACTCCACCAGTATTCACATTTGGGCATATTGAGTATGTGTGTTGAGTTTGGTCCAGATCCATCATTGAGTCCACAGTGATCTCTGGATGTAGGAGAACTACAACTCCAAAACCAAAGGACACTGCCCACCAAACCCTTCCAGTATTTTCTGTTGGTCATGGGAGAACTGTGTGCCAAGTTTGGTTCAATTCCATCGTTGGTGGGGTTCAGAATGCTCTTTGATTGTAGGTGAACTGTAAATCCCAGCAACTACAACTCCCAAAGGACAAAATCATTTTTTTTGAGTGAAGGACATACATTGGGTTGTTAGGTGTCCAGTGGATTTTGAGTTCTGTTAATCCCACAAACGAACATTACATTTTTATTTATATAGATTTATTTCCTATATTTATGTTTTTGTGATTCATCACTATGCTTTATGTTCAGATTGTAACAAAAAAAATATCATGCATATCAGATATTTACGATTCATAACAGTAGCAAAATAAGACATGTGCAGTGTGCATAGAAATTTGGTCATTAAAAAAAAAACTATAGTTCCGCCCTCCAATGGTCTGAGGGACAGTAATTTGGCCCCCTGCTTAAAAAGTTTGAGGACCCCTGCTGTAAAGAGACTGCTACTTTTAAGAAAATAAATAGGACCTTTGAATTCACTGGAGTTTAGTTTCAGGATCCCATGTGGATACCAAAATCCATGGATGCTCACTTCCCTTTACATCAGGGGTCCTCAAACTAAGGCCCGGGGGCTGGATGCAGCCCTCCAAGGTCGTTTACCTGGCCCTCGCTCAGGGTCAACCAAAGTCTGAAACGACTTGAAAGCACATAACAACAACAACAATCCTATCTCATCAGCCAAAAACAGGCCCGCATTTCCCATTGAAATACTAATAAGTTTATATTTGTTAACATTGTTCCTCATTTTAATTATTGTATTGTTTTAAAGTGTTTTTTACACTACAAATAACATATGTGCAGTGTGCATAGGAATTCATTCATTTTTTTAAAAAATTATAATCCGGCCCTCCAACTGTTTGAGGGACTGTGACCTGGCCCTCTGTTTAAAAAGTTTGTGGACCCCTGCTTTACATGATGTAGTAAAATGGCGTTCCTTATATAAAATGGCAAGATCAAGATTTGCTTTTGGGAATAAAAAAAGTTTTAAGCTCTGGATACCAAAAGGGCAGCCTAGAAATATTTAAAATAAATTGAATAAATATTACTGTGTTCAGGATAACCCAAAATTTACTGAATCACAAAATATTTTTTAAGAAAGGACAAAACTGACATGCCAGAATTAGTTATTTTAAATGCACAGTAACCATGGACATTTTCTCATTTATTTTAGTTAACTTCTGGGATCTAGTGCTATGTTATACAAAACACTTCACCACATCTTGGCAAGAAAGGAATCAGTCCCCCTCTCTTTTTCTCTAAAATATGGAAATGTGGAAGACACAATATTAATGATATCAGAAAAAGGATGAAAAAAAGATACTTAAATTCCACCAACATCCATCACGCTATCCTGGAGCATTATCCTTTCATAGCCTCTATTAGCCTTTGCTGTGTCAGTGCAAGTCCTGGACACTTCATCCTGTTTATAATTGCTGATGAGCAGTAATAAGGCCTCTATGCCTCAGCTCCCGGATGTTCCACTTCAGTGCCCACCTATTAGGTAATAACTTTTATTTACAGCCTTGCCTGATGTGCTATTCTGTTAGTACAAGTCAGAACTGAGAGAGTTTTTTTTTTTTTAAAAAAAATGCGGGGTCATTAATGGTACTGTCACTCTAGGATATACAGCACACCCTTGTTCTATAATGGCACTTCTTTCAGTGAAAAAGGACGGAAGACAGCTGGATTTGTAACAGTGCCCTCCACCAGTCAAACACTGAAGACCTCCTTAAAGAGCACCTTAAAGGTCAACTGAACAACAAAACTCTCTTCAAGTTGTTTTTATAGTTAAAAGTGCCACTAACCTTTTTTTACAGTTATCGTAGACACTACAGAACAAAAGAATACCCAATTAATGGTAAACTAGAACTTTTTGTCCTTGATAGACACATTATGCATAATAAAAATGTGAGTGTGGAAGAAGCTTAAACATAACACCAAACCAAATCCAATGAACTAGTCACTGCATTTGGCATGATGCATCCTAATACCTTCAAGTGGACCATCATATTCAGAAAAATTACAAGTTTAATGACAGTTACCCCTCTCTCTATCTTGCAAAACAAAATCTTGTAGTTGATATTATTATTATTATTATTATTATTATTATTATTATTATTATTATTATTACACCCCACTTTTTCTCTCCCTAAAAAGAGACTAAAAACAGATTACAATAAAACAGATACAATAAAAGTATCAAAAAAGTACAAACATTAAAATAGAACTAAAAATTTAACAAAATTAAAAATAAACAGTTTAAATCCCAAAGACTAATTTAAAAACTATCCATAGTTAAAAGCACAGAGGTTGTTATGTTTAAGTTATGTAACATATTATATAGTTGTGTTTTAAGTCCACTTTGTGGATGAAATGAAGTACAGTTTCTGGGGCCCATATTACAGATTTTGATATGATCTGTGAAGAAGTAAAAGAAAATTCCATGGAAAGGGGACAATTTCAGAATGCCCTCGGGAAGTCAGCTGCCCTTTCCCAACATAGCATTAAAAAAAACCTGTCATTCAGAGAAGGGATTTCTTTCTCTCTTTTTTTGGAGGAACCGCTCTTTTCTCTGAGTAGGGTGATGAAATATGAGAGTTTAGGCCAATCCCACAAAAATCTAACAGAAGCACTAACTCCCTCTTATTTTCTTGGTGCTCCTTTGAGGGAAAGCATCAGAGTTGCTGCCACCGCATTTTCCTGCCTGGGTACATAGAAAGGCTAGAAAGTGTCACCATGGCAGAGAAAGTAGAGAGAGTAATTGCTTCTTTTAGGTTCTTCTAGAGGGATTTTTCTTTACTGGTAAGGTATAGTATTTACAGTAACACAAGGACAAGTCAACACACCTCATTGGGTAAATTTTTAGATATTGCATAAGTATTCCAAATAGAGTAAATCATAGGTTTAAGTCAAATAGCATGTTCCAATTTATTCTTTATCCACTGAATAAATGGAATTTACACATGTGTAGATATATTAAGTCTTCATTGTATTCAATTGGTCTACTCTACTAATCAAACTTTGATAACAGAATACATTGTGGTTGTAAGAAGAAAACTTACCTGCCAAGATAAGCATGAAAAAGAGGGCCATTTTTCATAAACAGACTTAAGACAAGACAGAAGACTGCTACTGTGATCTGTCTTGGGAAGTAATATATATTCAATAACTACTTCACTTCAGAAGAGAAAGGCACCTCTTCTATTAAAAGTAATAGTCATTTGTTTGATCCTGAATAAACAATTTTTCAATAGGAGAAAAACAGTATTTAAAGTGAAGGAAATAAAGCATAAGAAGGCAAATTGATTACATGTACATCTGGATGACCCATCCTTTCTCAACATTTTTTAATTTGCTTTAAACCAGTTTAAGAGGCCACAGTTGAGAAAATAAACAGGTGGAAACTGAATTGAGGCAAGGTGGAGGTCACAAGGTAAGCATTCCCAATGCCCTGCAGGTTCTTCTTGTGACAGTAGTTTTCATGGGATTAGGTGCTCCTCAACGCCACTTTCCTGCCCTATAGTCAAGTGACAGCAATGGTCATAAACCTCTGTTAACGTCTCCATAAAGAAGAAGGGTTTTTCTAGATTGATCCAAATTTCTTTAAGCTTCTAGGATAAACTGTAGTAACTTATGATAGTCTGCATAAGGCTTCCAATGATAATGAGTGAAATTCTTAAAGCAGAACAGAATATTTCTTTTTGGTACAAAACTCCATAACAATGCTGTTTACCAATACATTCCTGGCCACAATTCAAAGTACTGGCTCCTAAAATTAAAGTTCTTTGTGGTTGGGATTTGCATATCTAAAGAAGTATTTCCTCCTATTTGAGTCTCACTGCAAATGTTCTGTGCAATCGTATCTCTGCTTTGTGTGTAAAAAATGGAAAGCACCCAAGAGAACTCATGAATGAACGAGAGCTGTCTCAAGAAGTCTGAGGTGATTTTTATTACTAAAAAGCTCTTGCATTTTTGCTAATATATGAAGGCATTCTTCAGGGGGTTTAACTATATGCCAACAATCTGTGAGGTATGGAAACCAGTAATTACGAGTTGGGCTTTTCCACAATAACTTCAGGGATCTAACATGTTTGCTTGATGAACTGAAGCTTTCCAGGGATTTTGTGAAACGTACCTGCTCTGCAAAACATATTGTTACTGAATGAACATTGTATCTCTGTGCTACTAATTTTGCATTTCTCAACAGCATTGCATATTTTTTTTTTTACAGAAGGCCCTCCATTTTTGTGGGAGGGTTATGGACTGGTGAAAATAGAAAAACCATATCTATCTCTAGGTTTCCCAAATGCTAACACTCAAACAGACACAAAATACCTGTATTGGCAGGATGACTGGGTCTGGTTGTGTGCACATTTCCTTTGCTTGCTTATTGGAGGATGGGACGGGGGTCCCCATTCTCGCTTTCCTGCTTCCCTGTCTCATTCCCAATGCATGTGAGCAAGTGAGCAAACCCTGCATTGCTTCCACATTCTATGTTACCAAATGTTGTGCAATGTTTATTCAAAGTAATAACTCATCAAAACAATTCTCAGCCCTGGTCTCTTCTTCGGTACATAGCCTGATAAAAGTATAAATCGAATCAAAACAAAATCAAAATTACCTGACTCGCAGGATCTTTTGGTTGCTGTTGTTAAAGAGACATGAGCTGTATCTGTGCATGGCCCACCTGGGAACAGAAGACAGTCAGTCAGTCCTGGCACTATTTTCAATTTCTATACTGATTATCCAGAATAGAATTACATCCAGTATTTGTTCAACAAATATAATCTTGTGAAATACACACTTAAATGTGTGCAATACACTCTAGTGAGTATGGTGCAGTGCTTTGATGATTCTGGAGTCCAGGGATCAAATGTCGCTTTGGTATGAAAACCTGTTGAGTGGCTTTATGCAAGTTTTATTCTCCCATCTTCAGGAGAAGGTAGGAATACATCTCTTCTGAACAAATCTTGTCAAGAAAATTATAGAACTGCTTTAGAGTTGGCATATGTTGGAATGACCAGAAGCTACAAGACAAAGCAAGACACACTACTATAAGGAATAGAATTTTTTTTACTGCAGTTGAGTACTTTGGCTAGAAATGAAGAAACAATAGTCCTTTAATTAAAACAACATTGTCCTTTAATTCAAGACAGCTTTTCACAACTCTTCAGCAGCGACTCCCATATTATTATTATTTCCAAATGAAGAGAGTGTATACAGTAATGTATACAATAGTACTGAAATGAAAACAGCTTTCCAAAGAAAGCAATGAAAAACTGTACTGGAATTGTTCATGATTCTTGAGTGAATGATTTTTTAAATCCAAATCCCTGTAAATAAATATGCATCAGTGAAAAATATTTTTAACCACAGTATTTTATTCAGATAGTTTCTCAAGCAGCTTTTTTCACATTACTTAAAAAAGACCTTACTTGGTTATCCCAGTACTAATCACTAATAGAAAGTAGTAGCAATTTTATGTTACTACGTAGATTAATCAGACTTTTTGTTCCATTGGCATGAAACAAGAGTCTACTTTGAACATTTGAATTGCATTCCCATTCAAAACTGTACTCCTAAAATGGAATCTCGCAAAGCATTACATAATGTTCAGCGTCAACAAAAGTGGATCTCTCATTCTCCTATATATCAAAGTCAAATCAAGTCAACTTTATTTATACCCCGTCCCATCTCCCTTTGGGGATTCATAAACAACGTATGTATTAAAATCAATATAACCTATAGGAGGAAACATGGCTAATAGTTGTTGGGACCTAGGTTTTACATTCCAAAACAAGCTGTAATACACATCACAAAATAATTCTCTGTAAAGCTTGTTAATCTTTTACTTAATAATTATATATTTCAGTAAGCCATATGTCTGAATATTTAAACTGAAATAAATTCACAGCAAATGTGACTGGAAATATTACACTGGTGAGCACCCTTTGGGTTTGGTTGTTTTACAAATTACAGATCCACCTAATAGTAGTATTGTCTAGCCCACATTTGACAAGTCTGCTTGCAAGAAGATCATGGGGGACTTCGTTGAAGGCCTTAACTGAAATTACCACACTTGTACCCTGCTCTTCTCACCCCAACGTGGATTCTGAGTGGCCATGCTGTCTTTCAGTAATCACAGCAGTCCTTTCTAAGTGATGGCAGACTACCTCCTTAATGATCTGCTCCAGAATCTTTGCTAGAAAACTCAAGAATGTCTGGTGACATGGCAAGCAGTCCTTTAGATGGTTAGCAAGACATTCTGAGTTGCCAGAGTATGAGCTTCATGAGTCCCAAGGCATGTTAATTTTGATTTTGTAGAATCATTGGCCAGAGTAAAATATTTTCCTGATGTTAAGCTGACTGGACGGAAATTGTTTGGCTTCTTTTTTTCTTCCTTCTTGAATATAGGGACATTTTCCCTCCTTCAGTCTGCTGAAACTTCTGTTCTCCAAGAATTCTCGGATTATTGCCAGTTGTTCTGAAATGACTTCTGCTAGTTCCTTCAATACTCTTGGAAGTAGTTCATTTGGTCCTGGAGACTTGAATTCATTGTAAATTGTCAAGTATTCCCAGATTACTTCTTAACTTAGTTTGGGTTGCATTTCCCCTGTTACCTCGTCTGCTCCGTATTCCTCAGATTGAACACCAATCTCCTTTTGGGAGAACCGAAGTCAAGGAAGGTGTTGAGAAGCTCTGATTCTTCTTTATCCCCTGTTAGCATTTCACCACCTTCTCCACTCAGAGCCCCTTCATGTACTAGAGTCATGTATTAAATTGGAAATGATAGTAAGAGCTGTTTTCAAGTATAACGTGTAATACCTTAACATAAGCTACTACAGTCCTCTAAAGATTTCGCTAGCAGTTTTAAAGACAATTTTAACAGACTTTTCCTATCCCACATATCAATTTGATGCTTAACAGCACGGAATGAAAAACAATAATCATAGTGAATCCTTTTTATAAGCCTCACAGTAGGAATTATTTTTTTGTTCAGTTTTGAAGCTTACTTGAATTATAAAGCAACACGAATGAGATGCGTGCTATGTTAACCAATGTAACTTAATTTGAAAAAGTGTTGTCTCTTGTGTTCTTGTACTACTATAAAAAAAGTTGAAATAGGGTGATGCAGAATTGTTCATAGTAGTTAATCATATCAATTACTTTTATATACTTCAAGATATTATTTGTCTACACAGGGATTTATTCAGAAATACGAGGTAAAGGAGAAGAAATAACTATGGTAAAAATAACCCTAAGAATTTTTAAGTAGCTGTGTTATTCTTTTGTTGAACAAACAACACAAACTCTCATGGTACCTAAATGACCAGTAAATTTATTATGGTGAAAACCTTCATGGGAACTGTGCATTTTAGGAGATGCAAAAATGTTAGTTCAAGTTGTCAGATTTCTATATAAATGGGTAAATGGCGGGGAACAGTAAACAATAAGGGAATTGAAATGCAAAAGTACAGAGAGTGATAATTACCTTAATTAAATGCTTTTTCCTCAATGCTTTTTCTAAAGCTATTTCAACCATTTTGATAGAAAAAAATAAAACAATATATAGATGGTATCTTACTTCCACTCAATTATCATTAATTAAAAAGAGTGCATCTCTCGCTATAGAAAAAAAATATGAACAGAGAGGGAATTTTAATTTATATATCACTATACTGTCTCCAGATAAGAGAATTTTGGAAGCAGGTCTTGAATAAGCATATTTTAACAATTGTTTCAGATTATTATTACTATCTATCTTTATAAACATTAAAGACAAGTAGGGCTTAAATACCCTAAAGGCATCAGATTCTGTCTGATCCTGAAAACTGAGAGGGGGTCAACTCTGGTCAGTACTTGGACAGGAGAATGCCAATAAATACCAGGCAGATGTAGGAATGGGCAAACCCATTTCTGAATATTCACTGCCTTAGAAGAACAATGAATATTGTTGTTCTTAGGCAACAGGCTACATGAAGGCACATATTCACATACAATAAATACTTGCATCATAAAAGCCTTACACCTGTTTTATTTTCAGTGGCTAGAATGGTTATAGCTAAGGGATAGAAAGTTTCTTGTAGGGTGGAAGCTACTAGATCTGGCATTAAATGAAAAGTTAACAGCTAAATGTAAAGTTCTTAGAGAAAGTACGACAAACATCTTTGTTGTCATATTCTGGCTATCCATTGGTTTTGTAAACAATAAATTTGATATGTTGTCGAAGGCTTTCATGGCCATGTTCCAGAAGTATTCGCTCCTGATGTTTTACCCACATCTATGGCAGGCATCTTCAGAGATTGAGGGGTCTGAACCAAGAGATCATTTTAAAAACAAACACTAATTTAGTCAGTTCATTAGTGCAGTGACCCCCCCAACCTCTGAGGATACCTGCCATAGATATGGATGAAATGTCAGGAGAGAATGCTTCCTGAACATGGCCATACAAGCCCAGAAAACTCACAGCAACCCAATACATATAATATCTGAAGACAACCCAGATTTCGTAATAAATACTGCAAATATTTGCTATAGGATCTTTATTTTTTTGGAAAATGAACACTCCAGATCGTGACTGGCATTCAATATAAACTAACACAATTTTTTTTTGTTAAGAAATAACAACTGCTATTCATGAATTGGCATCGCTACACCAATGAACTGACTAAATCAGTGTTTGTTTTTAAAATATTCTCTTTGTTCAGATAGCAACCTTTCTAAAGGATAGTTACATCACTTGGAAAGAGGAGTCACAAAATAACCTGTCAGCCAACACAGTAAACTTTAGCTTTCGGGAATCTCATCATAGGAACAGATTCAATGGGAGAGAAGTGTTTTGTTATTATACTCTAGGCAGAACTCTAGCTGAACAATATGACTGCAAATAATGACAACTGTTTTCAGACAGATTTTGTTAGCAATAGATTCTCAAACTGACAAATTAAAGTCAGACTACCCGTTTGAATTAGCAAATTGCTTTGAAGTATCAGTAGCATATAGAGGATTATACATATTTTACACTAAGAGTTTACTGAAATTTGATTTTACATTTTACTTAAGAAAGAAGCATAATTTCTTTAACAATTCCTCCAACATATTGTCTAAGTTGGATGCATGATGAATTGGATCTATGATGTTGATGACGACGACGATGAAGCAGTAAAAAACATAATCACTGAGCTTTAATGGAACACACTGCTCCTGTGGAAAAAGCAATAACCTGCGCCTCACATTTCACTCTAGGGTAAAATGTTGTAAGCATTGATTTCAGCAGCAAAATACATCCAGGATCTTACCATTTCACTAAATGTTCTTTTGCACTTTATTATCACAAACTGCAATAAAGAACTGCTTTACGAATTTCTAATGTACACAAGACCCAGCATGGTGTTGTTGTTTGAGCATTGGACTACAACTCTGGCGACCAGGCTACAAATCCCCACTTGGCCCATGCTCTACGTGGGACTGCTTTTGAAGACGGCCCGGAAATTGCAGTTCATGCAAAGATAGGAGGCCAGATTACTAACTGGAGTGCGCTACAGGGCGCGGTCAACCACTCTGTTTAAACAGCTCCACTGGCTGCCGATAAGTTTCCGGTCCCAATTCAAGGTGCAGGTTATTACCTACAAAGTCCTAAACGGTTCAGGACCTGCCTATCTTCGTGATAACATCTTCCCTTATGAA